AGCAATAACAGCACGCGTGCAGTCTAATAGCATCAGCAATAGATGCGGCCAGCATGAGGCAAGAAAAGTTTTAGATGATTTGGTAAGACTGTCTCTGCGATATACTTAACAGTGGTACCACGAACAGAAAGGGTGAGAACATCATAAGACACCACTGTATCGTGAGGAGAATCATGGTTACCAAATTGACCGCAGTCGATTTTGGGAATGAAAACACTTTTGGTCGAGACAAGAAGTAGGGCAGTCGTTGGCCACTGATTGAGCTGTAGATTCCTCGAGTTCGAGGGCTTGACGATCAGCGCCTGCCTGCACATCTGTATAATACAAGAGCTTGGAGCTTCGCTCTTCGCAAGGGCGAATATGAGCATAGGTGAGCTCATCATAAACCAGAAGGTCATCGTCGTTGTCGAAGCCGCAAGATCTTTGAGAACTCTCGCGGACTTCTACACTACTCTGCCCTGACGATATGTACTGTGGCATCTCACCAGAAAAGAGCTGCAAGTAACTACATGATGACAAGCTTTGCATCATCTATATTATGATGTTGGCCTACCTTGTGGGGACCCATCCCTGCTCGTCCGTAATAAGGCGTTTCACCAGAGACCACTGACCATCCTCAGTCGAAGAACTATACCTGCGACGTGCGGCTGAAATTTGTGGGAAACAACAACACGTTCGCTACAGCAGAGTCTCTCCTTCGAATATCTCCAGCATCTTGTCAGCGGAAGACCCATATGGGATGAAGTCGCATATCACTTCACATTCAGCTAAGGCCAACCTGAAGGTAACAGCAATTACGTTGCAACGACCGAATACCACTGCAGACCTACTCTTCAACATGTTTATCATCGGGTTCCTCTCCCAAACCACTGCCAGGAAGTAGAGAGACTTTCTCAGGAGTTATGCATGTCATCATCTCCGAACAATTAGAGCTGCTTCCTGAATAGCCGTCGAGCTGCTGTGTCCTCCAGATGCCACCCAATGCGCCTGTAATCTGCCAGACCAGAGACCTTCCACTCAGACACAACTCCTGATGACTCTCACCGTCGTTGCAGTAGAGGCACTTGCGGCAGCCGAGGGGTGCCCGTGAGAATCCACAACCGGTGAGGGCGAGAGGATAAGCAACTGTTCGTTGAAACCTGTGCTGCTCGCATCAGCCGACGCCTGAGCACAAGTGTCCACAGAAGCATTCAACGGAGCGGGCGTACCGAAGGAAACTTCAAGAGATTACCAGGGCTCGCCGAAGGTGAATTGTCGTCCCACATGGGAGTGATGTCAGCTGCTGCTGATGATGAAACTGAGAATACACAGATACCCACAGCAAGCGGAGATAGATCCCTTACTGGTCCCTCGGTGGCCATGTAACTTACCGTAGTCGAACTGCATAGGGCGGCCGTCGTTAGCCGCCCCCGCATCGTGTTCAAGACTGGAGCTCGGGAGAGTCTCCAACATACACTCCCAATGGTGACATACGACCATATGCTCAGGGAAGTCTCGCACACTTCCCACCCATTCGCACGGGGGAGAAGTGCTGAGCTCATCGACCCTGAAAATGACCAAGTCCAAGAAGAGGTAAAATTGGACGAGTTCTGCATCTCACTTCTGGCAGCGAATTCGTATCTTGGAATAGACCCTCAGCAGCGCTGCAATAGGCCCCTCAACGGACTCGTTGAAGGGGAAAACCTGAGCATACGAGGAGCGAGAGATCGCGGGAAAGTCAATCACATTAGGAATATATACAGTGTGAACAAAATCGACTTTCCTTGGCTGATTATCAATGACTTTATGAGAATTTTTTCACAGTGAAATATAATGAAACGTAATGGTTCTTGTGATGTGTTGTTATACTACTATAGATCACAAAGGCCTTCCCAAACCTCGTTGATACTAATATCCCCAATTTCGAAAAACTATCTCCGAAACACACACTTGCATAACTGCTCGATTCCCAAGCCACAAAATAAGCCCATTGCAATGGTGGTTTACGTCTATCCCTTTCCTAAGAGGACAGCCACAAGACGGGCAAGGTAGAGTCTTGAGCTTGGGTTCCTGTTCCACATTAGCACGTCGCCATCCCTCAAAGCATCTGAGCATCGCAACAAGCCATACCGCAGCATTCATTCAACCATATACCTACCTAGCACAAGTCATGTGCGCGCATGCCGATGCTATCGTAGGATCAGGCGTGGGGGAGGCGAGAGCGCCACAGATGGAGCACATGTATCTTCACGCACAGCGAAGATTCCATAAACGCACTTCGCCGTGACTTATCCCTACTGTGCAATGCACGGGTCATCGAGCTGGTCCACAAGTTGACTTCTGGATATCTCGAGATGCTTCCCTCTGCTCGCGGGGAGCTCTCGGGCGATCTAACACATACCATGACGCCGATAAAGCATGTCTCATTGTCACCACCTGCAGCGCTCTGCTTCGGAGGCTGGGAAGATCTATAGGCTTCGGTTCAACTGCGGTCTTCACACAAGACGAGACGCTCTCCTTACTGTATCGACGTCCACTTCTACTACCACTGTTACAAAGTCCCTGATTGTAAAGTTCGACACAAATCATACACAGTTTCTACTACTAGCTCAGAAGCTCGAGAGTTCTTCCTCTTGGTGGTATTGACAGAATCCCCACTGCCGTGTCTACTTGAATATATAACCGAAGGCACAAAGAACGTCGAAGAGCCTACCTTGGGCGACCGGGAGATCTGCTGTTGGATGTACTCAAAGGAATGTACTTCCTCAATTCTTCTTCGCTGTGCGCATATCTAAAGATACCACACAGCATACCATTCCTCCTCCTCCTGCTCGAGCCTCTCTTACTTGCATCGAGCACCATTCTTGCAACCGCATTTGCCATACACCTGTTCGTAACAGATAGCCGTCTTGGTAAGGTTCGGCAGAGACCTCAACTCCGCCTCAGAGTGAGCGAAACTGACAGACACACGCAATCTCGGCACCAGAATTCCGTATCGAGCACCTATCACATCACTCATGGGAATGTTTAGTACGGGATAGTGGCATGTAATGTGAGACTACCTGCAACGATCGCCTTGAGGACAGGTCCACACACCATTGGCATTCATTCTGAGCTTAGGGCACATCTTGGTCTTCAAGAAAGCATTAGCCTGATGCAAGATGAATGCAATGAGCGGGGAATCTCCTACCACTACCTTTACAGCAGTGGCCATACTCTCTGTGCGATAAACCAGCAGTGTGCCGTCCGGAGCCGACTTAGTGCCAGCGTTCGTGAGAGGCGAACAGGATGTCTACTGAAGAGACTAAAGCAAACGTCGTGATAGGACAGAGACTCACCCTTCTTATCGCGAGTTCCAACTTGGATTTCACAGAGTCCTCGGATTCACGACGAGGTCGTCTATTTTCGACCAGCCTCAATAGTGCTGAAGGACTGCCGGCATCAGCTGTGGTCGAAGCCGACATAGTCCGCTCCGATTTGGTCGTCTTCGTATCATCTCCATTCCCCATATCGTGTTCGGGGTAACTCATCACCATTCTCAGGTAATGCACCGAGAGCCTTGGGGTTGTATATCAAAACTACTACTGACAAACCCACCCTTTTTGATACACTCCAACACAAATCACCCATAGAAAATATGAAATCATTCGTCGTTCACAATCCCGAAACGTCGCGAATAAATACCCTACATCTGCCTCCCTCCCATTGATGACAGTTTCAGTGGAATACTCCACAGTTATCTCAACTCCCAGTAGACTGATAGCTCCACGGCAAAAAAACTACGGTTTATTTTGGGTCCATGTGGGAAATAGACAGTAACAAGATGCACCATCAAAACAAGGGTGGTAATGACATCCGGAGAAAGCCGTAACGATTGCCATCCGACTGCCTCGAGACGAGTGGGGATCTTCCCTAAAGTCCTCGGCATTTGAAGACAACGGGAAACGACTAAAAGTGGCCGAGAGTGAGAAAATTCGAAATCGCGATATTTTTTCTCGGGCTTGACTTAGTTTCACGAACTCATTTTCCGCACAAAATTTTCAATCACTCGCGTGAAACGGAAAATCTGAAGTTTTCCTCAACAACTGGAAGATGAGCCAAAGGGAAAAAGAATTCATTGGCACGTGCATTGAGAACGACCAGTTTTATGTGAGAACTTAGACTGAAAACGGATTGAAAGTGCTCCCGACTATTAATACGTCTTGAGCATCACACCAACTCGTGAAATGCTCATTACTACTGTGAATGAATTTTATTCTGAATTTTCTGGTTGTTTTGCGAAAGTAAATGTGTGAGCATGTCTGAGATGGTGAAACGTATAAGCTCTCCGACATTATTCTATCGCGAGTGCAAACACCGACTGAGAAAACGATGGGCACTTGCAAATCTTGCGCTCTCCATATTTCCTCAACGAAAACGTGAAACGACTACGATGTAGGGTCACCCTACTAGGGCGGATTCCTGAAGCGTCAAGTTAATAGTGCTACTCCATCTTCATCAATCAACTACACATTTTAAAGGCCTATTTCGCCTTAAATAAGATCAATTTCGCAGGGCGATCAATCATCTGAGCCAAGATATGCCTTAGTAAGATCAATTTCGCCATCGCGCTCGATAGAAAAATCAATTTCGACGACGCGTGTCATTAGTACAATCAACTTCGCCGGCATGTCTGAAGTAAGTTCAATTTCGACAAAAGGCGCAAATCGATTTCGCTGATAGTATATTCAATTTCGCTCGACAGCAGATTTTCGATCTCAGAACTAGTAGTTCTGCACGACACCGCGACATGTCTTATCAGGAGAGACTTCCGACATGCATCTGGTGGCTCGTGAGCGCCATCAGCAGTTGACGACGAGCCATGGTATGACTACAGTATCACGCAAGTGTAGCCCCGTTAACAATACGCGCACGAGCCGAAGCACCGTGCTTCTTGTATTGCCGTCGTGGCCGTCGACGAGGCAGGACCATCTCCCTCAGCTGAGCCACTGAGACTGTCATCACTGGACTCGTATTGACTTTCGTGAGAGTTGCCATGGCTCTAGCGCGAAAGTTTTGTCACTGGAGCCATGGTAAGTTATCATCGGTAACTCTCATCGTCGCCGACGATTTGTCGGAGTTGTGACTTGGATTTGGCATGATGATAAGCTGAACGGGCAGCGTGCAACA